CTACTCACTATAGGTATATAAATAGATAGCTCGCCTTTTGTACAAATATTTGGTGCAATAAAGAATAAATAAATAAATAGGATGTTTCGCAGATGTGTTTTTGATTATTGTTAATTTTTACGTGTCACGTATTGAAAAGTAACATACCTACCTACTAATTTTTGAACTGAGCACCTTGTTACTTAGCCTGCTTTATTACTTATGCTGGCAGACATTATCCTCACCCCAATGATTGATTAGGATGAAAATCAATTTTATTTCTACATACGTAATTATATTTATTTATACATAAGGGTACCTTTAATAAAGGTAATACAAAAATCAACAAGAAGTATAAGGGTTCAATCTTTCAATTTCAATTGTAAAAAAACGTTACCCCCACACTAGGATTTTCTCCTGTGTCGTGGAGGCAGTTTACAAACATAAATTGCAGAAGGACAGACATCCAGACCCGGAACAATTATTTGTAGGCCATACAAATACTTGTTCCATGCGGGATTCGAACCCGCGGCCCCCAGCGCAACAACTGATTGCTAAGCCACTGCGCCACGGAGCCGTCGCCGGGTTATAGCTAAAGTGACCATACGTCCCATTTTGAACGGTACTGTCCCTTTTCTCGGTCACCTGTCCCATTGTCCCAAACATAGCTCCGGGACATAAAATTGTCCCGTAACTCGTTGGATGGAAGTATTCAAAGTCAACAATCTTCAACATATTTTTTTTTAATCGAATATATTGTATTGGTACAAATGCTCCAGTAGAAAGAGTATTTTTTTATTTTGGATAAATTGTGGACGTCTGAAAGAAAAACTTACGGTTCCAGTTCTAAAGGCGATGTTAACAAAGGTAACAATAAAAAAACTTGAGCAGAATTTTATTCTTATTTAAAATTATCACCAACTTTATTAAAGCAAATTTAATCCACTGACAAATGTAACTAATAATTAAAAAAAAAATATGTTGCATTTAATAATTACCGTCTATACCGAATATAATTTTATAGTGAACACTAATTGTATAAAGTTATAGTTTTTAGAGTATAAATATACCCATGTCCTGTTTGAGTTAAAAAATAAATGGTCAGTTTAGCTTTTTTTAGTTAAATTTAGTTTTAAAAAATTTATAGTAAAAAGTAGGTATATTAATACCTACTTAGATACCATTTATCGAATTAAGGTGGAAGGCCCTAATACCAGTCATGCCCCTAATTCCAGTCTTTTCGCCTCTTTACTCCATAAATAAGATTTCTAGTAGTCTTAACTACCAATATTGTCATCTAAAAAATTCTTTGTACCTACCTAGAGGAAAGTATATTTATTCAAATATTACCTCGCAGTTTTAAACCTAACAGTGTTAAAATCAAAACAGGTACGCAACGGAAAACGATCATTTTCCTAATTATTTGACAAGTTATGATCCCGTCAAAATTATGCTTACTTTACATTATCTCATATATAGGCTTTTTGATTTGTATGAATATGACTATAGACATAGTAATGCAGTTATTTTTGTTTGAATTTACAAGTTATTTATTTTCTTTTAGTGGAAATTAATTGGGCTGTAATTGAAATGTATGGAGTGCATAATGTCAGACGCCCGGCTGTTATTTGGTTTGACGTACCAAATTTCAGCCGCGTAATATAAATCAGGGCTGCCATAAACTGGAATAAATACCATTAATTAGATAATAATTTATTTTATAGCTAAGGGAGTTATGATCAATTCGTCTGTTTTAAAATTGGTTTTAGATTTTAAAGTTTAGCAAAAGAAGTACTAGCTTTTCTCTCTGAAATTCGGCGTATATTAAGAACACCTTATGTACTCAATTATTTTTTGAATAAGAATAAAAAAACAAGCAATAAATAATATACTATATTTTAGCAAAAAACTGTAACTTAGTAATACTAATTACAACTTAGAACATAAATGAAAAACTCATAACTGACTTTTTGGCCCGACCCGGGGATTCGAACCCGGGACCTCATGATCAGCAGTCGGACTACTACAACCACTAGACCAACGAGGCAGCACTATACCTAATAAGATATTGTGGTTGGGTATTAGGATTATTTTTAACTGTATACTATACTGATAATATTGAATTAGCCTTTTATAGTGTAAATATATAATGTTTGTCGAAATGTTAATTATGGATTCGAATCTTACATGCTAATGGTGCTTCATTTTTTTTATTTGCATTTACTTCAAAGAAAATACACGCAAAAAGCTTAATCGCGCAGTAAAAAACAACAAATATATGTATAACTAATACGAAAAATTATACCCAAAACAAACAAATAATACTACCTATAAATAACCCTAATAAGTAATAATATTATCGACTGATAAGTTGACGTGAGCGTGTGCGCTGGCTGACGCTCTGACTAACGACACGGGTTTTACGTTCAAGATCTCAGCGCTCACTGACTCCAGCAAGCCCGTGGGCAGTGAATAGGCCCAGATTTTAAAATTATTTCTTAATAAAATCAAATTTTGGTCTTTTGAAAAAAAATTATAATAGAAATGTTCATTAATAAATTGCCTATCCATTGGTGTAAATCGCAAAATAAAATAATACTTACTTTACGAGGAGATGCATATTGTCAATAATTATTTCACATTTATGTGGTTTCTTTGTAAGGAGATTATATTAATATTTATTCCTTTAAAAAAAAATTGGATATAGCTCTTATGGAATCAAGATTATGTAGAAATATAATGTGTTTTTTATTTGTTGATATATCTTTTAAATAAAAAGTAGATAGCTCCTAAAAACTGCACAAATAACGACTAGCGCGACATTTTGCTCAACCTGCGCCTTAACAAAGCCGCTTAACGGGCACACAACATAAATAAAATAAATAAAAAATAAAATAATAAACGGTAGGCTAATCTCACGAAGGTCACTTCCGAGGCGTGCTAAGTTTTGTGAACATTAGCTACGTTATAACTAAGTTTAAACTCGCAAGTTTGCTATCAGAGAGTGAGCCTTCTGTTCTTTTAACTATTATTTATTCTGTGCTATTTCTCAGAACTGGAGCGCAAAACCAGACACTTAACAATAGGCCCTTTTTAACAAAGGACTCTGGTAGCGCACTCATAGGTCTAGGGGTGATTTCTATTAAAAAAAACATTTAATTTTTCTTTAGTCTAGCTCTGACGTTGAGCTCCTTCACTTGTGACTAAGTGTTTTTTTTTGGACAATTGTGTGGATAAAATGAGTTCTTTCAGTAATAAAGAGTATACTGATATCGTTTTTATGTACGGCAAAGCCGATGGAAATGGGTCTTTGGCACGACGATTGTATCAAGAACTTTATCCTCATCGTCGAGTGCCGAACGTCAGAGTATTCCAAAATACCTATCGTCGCCTTGGTGAAACTGGAAGGTTTCAGCGCTCGGAACCTGGAACTAACTCGGGTCGACCTGTTCACGAAGAGGAGCTTATTTTAGAAGCATTTGAAAATTATCCTACAGCAAGCGTCAGAGCAGTATCGTGTAACCTTGGCATATCCAAATCGAAAGTTTGGTCAACTATGCATCGTGAGGGAAACATGTTTCATGGTACAGGAGTATGTTTTTCTTTTAAACGCGTTAATAAGTTACTTTAACTTTCCTAAAAATTTCTGATCAATTTAGTCTAATGATGTAGATACAGTTGATGGTATTGGTGATTGTCGATTGAATACACATTAAACTAAGAAAACAAAAACAAGATTTTATGTACTGATTGTAGCCGGTTTAATTGTTATGAACGAATAAGTACCAAATTTTGTCATAATTTTCACGATAACTAGAAATTCTAAAACATCAGGTTAGGGTAACATGCTCAAAAATGTGCCCCACGAGGTCACCTGTCCTCCAAAAGCATTGCATCGACCTTCCGAACACCTGTATTTGTAACTATGTTGATTTTTGTTTTTACTAGTACCTTTTGATTCTTATGACCATATTTAGTTATATATATACCATATATAGTTATAGTAATGTCCAATTTTCGTCTCTTCGTTAAAAGCTATGATTAGGCTAAGTTTGGATTCAAATTCATTCGCTACGCCACGCCATCATGATTGCTTGCTTTTTGTGTTGGAAATCCATGAGTCTTTCTTTTATCTTTATTAGCCAATTTTCTTCTATGTTTTGCGGTTTAATTTTGATTCTCCTTGCATGGATGCATGCAAAACTTGGGCAGATGTTTAAGAAATTGAAATGGCCGAGAATTCGTCTTGTATTAAAGAAGAAAGTTTGGTTAAATTATTCACAAAAAATATCTTTTACAAGATAATAATGTTAACAAAATATTGCACTATTCAGTTTCAATTCTTCTTTAATACCTTAGACCGACAAAGAAATTAGACGAAGCACTGTGTGGATTTCAAACGACGCCAAAACCACGCTAAACTCCTTGACGTGCACTTAGCACACATATGCACGTAAGCAATGTTGTTGTTTGCAAATGATTTTAGATGCATATATTTTAGTGCGTAAGTGCGTATTCCCATGGGTTCGGCTTAGTTTTGGCGTCACTTGAATTGTCCGCAGCGCTACGGCAATCTTTCTTTGTTGGTCTTAGTTATGTGCAAAAGCAATGCCTTGTAAACATTAATTATCTCAAATATGCAGTTGAAATCAAATGGCATAATAAATATTAAGTGTGAAGCATGTAAATGTTTCTGGGCAGAAATACAGTTTTTAATTACTGAGAAATAAGAAAAATCGTTAAACAACAGCATTTCTGCCTGTACATAATGTGTCAGTTCACTTAAATAAGTCTTGTAAATGGTCCAATATTAATATAATTTAAAAATTAAAATTATCCCAATACAGTTAATAGTTAAGGGTTTTAACTAAATTAACTATAATCTTATTTATTTCAACAATGAGTTAAAAGTCAGATCATTCCTTATTTTAAACAGTGAGCTGACAATGCCAGAATAAAAGTCAGAAAATAAACTTACAAATTAGAAATAAAGCAACACTGAACGTTCATCATTTCCACAGACTGCAACAGCGGTAACGGATAAAACGAAGGCTAAAGCGACTCCAACAAAGCGAACGCCAGCTAAACAGGCCAAACCCGATACCCCAGTCAGTACGCCCACACGTAAGGGACGGAGGGCAGCAAAGGGTAAGAACATACTTTTCTTTATATCTATTTGATTTTCAAGTGAAGGGAAAGGGTAAAAACTGATTTTTTATTTGTTTTTAATTTCTAAGGGAAGCCATCGCCTTATCTAATCTCATATGTATTCTAAAAGATAAGACGGGTCTATAATAATAATAACATTTTTTTTTCAGATAAAGATCCATAATAATATAAAAACAAACTAACATGTAATTAAGTAACCACTACCCCAACCATCCCGTATCATAAGAGGCGACAAAGGGAAACAAATCAGGAGATGAGCAGTGACATCTTCCTAATAACGACTAAAAATAAAAAAAAACTGCGGTTGCCAACCCGCTTGCCAATCGTGGCCACGATGGCAAATATCCAACCTATGAGGCAATCTATGGGGGACGCCTGTTTTCAGCAGTGCACTTTAATAGGCTGTAACGGAATATGGAAACAATAGTAATATAAAACTAATCTGTTTTCTGATCCAATATTCCATGAAAAGACTCTGTACTGTGTATTGAGTCTAGCAATCAGTTGTAGATAAGAATTGTAGCAGTCTTGCACTGGGGTGCTATTCTATTTCGTCATACCTAAGTACTACATTCTTTTTACTTAAAACTGAAGTGACAAACAAATTTACCTTCCATTTGACGGTAAGTGGCTACTGCAGACCAAGAATACCTGCAGCCAACTTCAAAGAAGCATACGAGTGGATGCTGTGGCCCATATACATCTAAATCTATCCTCGATTAAGAATCAAAATGCAGATGCGTTGTCACCCTTGAGTACTAAATTGGAATGCCTTGTTTCCATTAAAGTCTCCGTTTTCTACACTCACTATATGAAACACGGCACCATTAAGGTGGTATTTCACATTGGAATTCTGAGAGAGTGTGGTTTCCCTGGTCGAGTCGACCCCTTCATGCTACCACCTCAATATCTTTGGCATGGCAGTACCACGTATGTAATCGTCTATCATAATCGGTCTCTTAATGTTCTAATGATGTTTGGGTCCTCTCTACGGGACGGTGGACATTTTGCCAAAGGAAGTTAAAAAAAACTAATCAAGGCTTTTTGTCACCTTTTCTCTATATAGGTCTATTTTAGTACTGCAGGTAGTTTAGTCTAAATTAAATAAAATATTTTTATGAGTGCTATTCCAATATATTTTATCTTCCAATTTGCTGTTTGGTGCTTAAGCGACATTCTATCTCCCTATCTTATTCTATGAGTGTCATATTGTCATTTAAGATTAGTGGTAGAAAAGTATTATACATACTACTATCAGATGCTAGGATTTTTAAGGAAAGATCTGGGCTGGCTACAATAATTACAACCAAAAATGTTGTCCGCAGAAAGCAAACCATCCCCAATAATCCCCACACCGTCGACGTCCACGGGTAAAACCACACGCACCCCAAGGAAACCGCCGGCGAAGAAATAATATTCACCGCAAAGCAGTTCTTGTGAATTGACTCTATGAGTTGCCCGCGGTTGGATCGGTACTTTAAACCACTCGTAACTTATTATGGAATGTTTATTTCGGTCACTTCACCCAGCATAATTGTTTTTTTTATTTTTGTATCCTCCATTTTATTTGTAATATCTTTCATTGCATGGGATTGTATTTGGACGTTAACGAAACTTTTGTATGAGTGAGCGTATTCGGTAATATTTGTTAAAAGTAAGGGTTCATGGTATGGTATGTTATGGTACTATTATTGTAGAGACTTTAATAATACAGCCACGAGACATTTTTCTTGATAGGATTTTTTTTATATGTGAACCCTGTTATTTTTGGGGTAAATTTATGGCAACATTGCCAGTATTTATTGTATTTATATCACTGTGAACTCTTATTTTACTACAACATTTAAGTACACTTAGCCAATCTTAACAATTAGCACAACGTTTTCTGTTTTTCAAGGTTAATGTCATTATATATAAGAAAAGTAAGTGTGTCACTAGGTTCATCGATGAAGGGTCCTGTACCAAACAGGAGAATGAGTAGAAGTTATAAAAACATTTATTTTTTAATGAACGTAAATACTGAATGGAGTTTGTCATTCCATAAGTCTATTCTGACTTATTTCATGTATGCAAGATTTGGTTATTCTTCTTTGTTTCAAACAATTCAGGTATGAAGTTATATTTAGCTAAAGCAATATTTACTTAAATGGTTATTAGTGGTTTTTTTATGCATTCATCACAATTTGTTAAGAAATTCTTTTAAAATACTGTGTAATTTGGGAGTTTCAAGCAAATTGAATAGCTAAGGTAACTTGTTTAATGTTTTTACTAACAAGAATTATTAACTTAGATGTGTTTGTAAATATTTTAAAAAAGTAACTCGTACCATACGGTAGTATGTTTTGATTTCACTGAATTTGAGAGAGTAACCCTATTTAATAAACTATAAATTAAATTTTTTATTCTGATTCTTTTGGACAAAAATTTGTATTTTAAAGTTGAGAAAAGTAAATAAATGTAAACAAACTTGTGAATTATATGTGCTATATATAACAAGTGAAATTAACGTTGTATAGAGATGATGCTTAATTTTTTTGGAGCAATATTTTAATGCTTACCTATTGTGTAGTTGCACTGGTCAGCAAATAAATAGGGTTATTCACTACTTCGGTGATCATAACAGTTATAATATAATATATTGTATAATGAGGTATTTTTAGCCCTCTCAAACATTAGTTTTGTAAGTTTTAATTTTTTTTGGATAGGATTAATTATAAAAATTCTAAAGGTTTTTCTAGAGTATTTGACTTATTGCAATGGAATTATTGTATATTAGTACAAAGTGGAAACAATTGTTTAAAGTTAAAACATTGTATTAATAAAGGTAATTGAACTTTGTTTTTGCATGAGTATATATTTTGGTATGTACAACCTTTTTTATATTTTGTTTAGAATAAATAGTCGCAATTTTGATGAGTACCGAGCAAAATGTTATCTTAATTCTGGACCAATGATACCACAGTATAAAAAAGTTTTAAGTCGACATGTGTAAATGTTGATGTGCATAGACATCTAATAGATACATTTTTTTTAATCTAATTCAATTTGCGTTGTAAGTAATGTATGCCAGCCGTCGAATATTTGGAAAGGCCTAGGACCAGCTATGGGCTTAAAAGGCTGTTGTGTCGATGTAAAGTGAAGAAACTCAAAACTGTTTTACTGTTAACGTATATTTCGTGGGCAACATTTGATAGACCAACGTATGAGTTTTATGAAACATGTATTTAAAGACAAATTAATCTGTATCGAGTTTAAAATAATGAATTTTAAGATAGTAACAAGTGATGCTAAAGATATTGTAAGAACTGGATCGGCAGGATTTTAATGTTTAATAATCAACTGATTTATCAACACTGCCTTATATGACATTAGTTATAAAATCGTTTTTAAGTATTGATCGATGCGCAATGACCCACGAAATGAACGATTGTTTTATCGACATATTATCTCGACTTTGTTACATCACTATTATTGTGACTTACTTATAGTTTTGTTTTGTGTTTGTAGCGAACACTTCACTTTTTTTGTTATTTTTTTTTTCATTATTACGAGTGATCATAAATTGTATGTGGAAATATCTCTTGTGGATGTGTGTGTGCGACCGTAGAAGTTCTAAGTACCTAAGTTAGGTGGTAATTTTAAATAGGTTTAATTTCTAAAGAGATATAAGCATAGAATAAATTATTGTGTGTGCATTTTCTGTTTCTAAAAGGCGTACGGAGCGAATGTTGTCACTGGTCCTCTGGTACAATAGATGTTAAAACATATTTTAGCGTTTTATACAAAAGATATCAGTCGAGAGTACTATTGTAACAGAAAGTCCACAAATTTATATGCAATTCAGAATTAAATATAAATAATTTAAGACATATCGAGTGTTTTTATTTCTTTAAGCCATGTCTGTAATTTTCTTAACGCATACTTTAGAATTTCAAAAAATATTTTATATAAAAAGTATGTAACTGAAGTAAGTAAATTGTTATTAAAAATAAAAGAAACCTGGTTCCAGAGATCTTAAAGGGTTGTATTTTTTTTTATATAAGTGAAGTGACTAACGAACAGTCACCTGCTGAAGTTCAAGGACACCTGCAGCCAATTTTAAACAGAGAAGGTTAATGATGAGTTGTCACATCTGAGTAATGAGGGCATCCACGACTTTTTCTGCCTCCAGGGCGGCGCCACCAGAGAGTGAAGTATAATATTTGACAGATTTCATAGCAGAGAAGTTAATTTGTTCGGGAAATGTAGAGGTTATTCTTTCTTTCTGTACTATTAGCTATATTTCATATTAATAAGATAAAAAATAAATAAACCAAACCACAAATATTCATAAAAGTAGAAAAATTTAAAAAAAGTTAAAAATGCGCAAAATATTAAAGAGCAAACCACTGACGCATTTTGTGTATTAATATAATACTCTAGAAACCGATAAACTTTTATTAAAAACCAATTTCTCAATTAAATGACATTGTGTAACTAAAAACTTTACCTCAGTGTCAACAAGCGACATCTGGCGAGCAGAAAATTATTAGACCTCATTGGAACGCTTCACCGTGTGTAATTGTACTGGTGCTCTAAACCCTTCAGTCCGGAACGTAGCACTGCAAGTACAACTATTTGGTGGTAGAAGGTAAGAGGATGGTAATTACAACCCAGACAGACTATTACGCAGAAAATTAGTCTTACCACCATGAAGTAATTTTTATAGGTATTTTGTTTTCGAGCATCGTATTGACATTGCCAACATAAAATTGATACTCAAGGTCAAGAGATGAAACGGTATTACTTTAAAATTAAATTAATGGTACTACAGAGTAGAATAATTGTACAGGCGCACTCCAGAGAGACTTCCAGTATGAGTTATACTTATTTATAGAGACGTCCATAATTATATTATATACTGCTGTACTATTATCATATATTCTGTGGCAAGCATTTTATGGTACACAGAGTATACATATGGATTTTTTAAACAATATACTACTTGTCTGCTGTCTGCTGGATATTGTAAATTATGTAATGAGGGCATCCACGACTTTTTCTGCCACCAGGGCGGCACCACTAGAAAGTGAGGTATAATATTTGACAGATTTCATAGCGGGGAAGTTAATTTGTTCGGAAAATGTAAAAGTTATTGTTTCTTTTTGTACTATTAGCTATATTTTATATATTAATAACATTACCTCAGTTTCAACTAGCGACATCTGATGAGCAGAAAATTATTAGTCGTCGTTACAGTTGACGACTAACAGCACAAGCATACCGATAACATTGTGAAAGGTTGCTGAATTTGTAGGCCAGGCGTTGTTTGCAAATATAACATAATAGTTTTGCAAAAATAACATAAAACTTGGTCCTATGGTTAGTAGAAAGTAAAATAAAAAAAAAACGAGCGAGCCTTACAGTAGTCACATAATATGATGTGTAACATGTGACATCTCAACATTAACTTATTACACCCTGAAGAAAACTATTTGTTTTTTTTTTATCCAAATTAAAAATAGGTATCAATTGAGCAGTGACAGAAATTACCCGCGATAACATATGTCTAACTATTACAGTTATGTCACAATAACTACTTTTCCATGTTAAATTGTGCAATAGTAATGCCGGTTCAAACTAAGCCACATTATTCGTACCTAGGTATTAGTCCTTATATCCGAATAAATCACTCAGGCTATATCAGTACTTGCACCATGTATAACCACCAATTACGTTAACCATGTAATTTAAGTAACATTTTTCACTTTTTAAATCTTTTTTACCCATCCGTCGTGATGTCTCTTTCGAAGTTAGCACGTCGCGAGGCGCAACCGCGGGGCACAGTTAGTTTATTGATATAATTAAATTAGTTTATATATATAACAGCACACTTTACCACCGCGCGCGCTCATTACTCAAATAGCACGCTTCCCCGGCTTCCTGTTACACACTTCCGTCCCTTTTCACGAAATCACTCGTACAGATTGCGGGAAAGCGAGAGGAAAGGTGTTACTCATCACAAAGTTGTTAATGATAAATGTCTTCCATACCGAATTATGGCGATGGCGGCACGTGTCTACGGAGGCTAGCTATCTGTGCAGAACTTCTGTCCTGTCCTAGTGTGTGTATGCAAATATAGGTTACTCTATTTCCTAACTTCCATAGTCCGATGGGACGACAATCCGACACCACTGGAAAAATCAGCTTGTTGATAGAAAAATCCAATAACTAATCTCATCTCATTACAGCCTTTCATAAGTCCACTGCTGAACATAGGCCTCCCCCAAGGATTGCCACAAAGCACGGGCCTGAGCCACCTGCATTCAACGACTTCCTGCATGTCTTACCAGGTCGTCACTCCATCTCGTGGGAGGTCGCCCTACACTTCGCCTACCAGTACGAGGCTGCCACTCAAGAACCTTTCTTCCCCATCGGTTGTCGGTTCTTCGAGCTATATGGCCGACCCACTGCCACTTCAGCTTACTAATCCGTTAGGCTATGTCGGTCACTCTGGTTCTACTGCGGATATCCTCATTTCTAAGTTTATCACGCAGAGAAACTCCGAGCATAGCCCTCTCCATAGCTCGCTGAGCGACCTTGAGCTTCCTCATACGGCCAGCAGTGAAGGACCACGTCTCAGATCCGTCAGTCATCACTGGCAACACGCACTGGTTGTACAATTTACCCCAGGTAAACATACTCGTCAACAACTTCGAGCTTAGTGCTCCCAACAACTACCGGCATAGGTGTGACATGGACACTGAACATGATCTTTGTTTTGTCCATGTTCATCTTAAGACCTATCCGTTGGGAGACACTATTGAGGTCATTGAGCATGATGCTTAGATCCTCCAGCGATTCTGCCATAAGGACCGTCGGCAAATCGAAGGTGAATGTGCTCGCCATTGATGTTAATACCGTATCCTTTCCCGTCCAGAAGCTTGAAAACGTCTTCAGAAACAGAAACTTTCTTATTCAATATAGACTATAAATAATACTTATTGAAAGTCACTTTTGTTTGATTACCACTGGTTCGGAAAAACCTCTGTCCTGGGAAGAACCAGCAAGAAACCCAGCGGGACTTTTTTTTTAAAATAACAGCTTACAATCATGATGTTACACAAATTAACAACACAACAAATTAGAAATAGCTTGGTAGCGATCACCTCATTTCCAGGGGTTATTATCATCCATAAATTCCTTAATATTATAATAACCCTTTTTATACAAACTTAGTTTAATAAAGTTTTTGAACTTTGAGCAGGTCAAACTTTGTATATTTTCTGGAATTTTATTGTAAAAGCGTATACATCGCCCCAAGAATGAATTACTGACTCGATGGAGTCGAGTAACTGGTACTACTAGCTTGTGTCTGTTCCTAGTATTTACAGAATGAATATCACTTATTTTTGTAAAACTACTTTTATTTTTGTGTACGTACATTACATTTTCATAAATGTATTGAGAGGCCAAAGTTAATATATTAATTTCCTTAAATTTTTGTCGCAGCGACTCTTTAGGCTTTAAATCATAAATTGCTCTTATGGCCCTCTTCTGTAAAACAAATATAATTTCAGTGTCAGCTGCGTGTCCCCATAGCAAAATACCATACAACATTATGCTATGAAAATAGCTAAAGTAAACTAATCTAGCTGTTTCAACACTGGTTAGACTTCTAATCTTTTTTACAGCATATGCTGCAGAACTAAGTCTGCTTGCTAGTTTTGATATATGGGGGCTCCATAGAAGCTTCGCGTCTAGTGTGATTCCAAGAAAAATGGTGGTATCTACAAGACTCAGTTTCTCCCCATTTAAAATTACATTTGTATTTAATCGTTTGACATTTGGAGTCACGAATTTCATACATTTCGTTTTAGTGCCATTTAAATGCAAATTATTAACATCGAACCAATTTACTAATTTAGATATAGCATTATTTACGTCGTCATATTTTAGTAATTGTCGACTTAATTTCAAAATTAAAGAAGTGTCATCTGCAAATAATACTATATCATGGTTATAAGGTAAGTCATTAATGTATACAAGAAACAGAAAGGGGCCGAGAATTGAGCCTTGAGGTACGCCCATTTGTACCATCGATCCGGTAGAGCTCATATTGTTAATGACAACTTTTTGCGTTCTCTTACTTAAATATGAAATAATTAATTTAAGAGCATCACTTCTTACACCGTATTGTTGAAGTTTCCTGATTAATGTTTCATGGTGAACACAATCGAAGGCCTTGGATAGGTCACAAAATATACCCAAAGCATCCTGTGAATTCTCCCATGCATTAAAGATATATTTAATCAGCTCAGCACCGGCATCAGTTGTCGAGCGACCCCTTGTGAAATCAAATTGATTTTTATGAAGTAAATTGTTTATATTAAAAAAAAATTACATTTGATCAAGAACAATTTTTTCAAAAATCTTACTAAGTGTTGGTAGTACAGAAATAGGTCTAAAATTGGCGGGGTCTAATGTACTACCAGATTTAAATAAAAATCCAATTCAGCGGTGAAGAGTTTCGGGGATATAACGTCACCCTGTCTTACACCTCTCTGCAATTGGATAGGTTTTGTACTCTGGTTCTGTACTCGGATAGCCATCATAGCTCTACTGTACAAGCACTTCAGCACTTCGATATACCGACAGTCAACTTGGCACCGCTGGAGGGACTGCAGCACCACCCAAATTTCGACGGAAGCAAAGGCTTTCTCATAGTCCACATACGCCAGGCATAGTGGCAAATTGTACTCCTCGGACTTCTGTACAACTTGCCGAAGGGTATGTATGTGGTCTATGGTGCTAAAGCCCTTTCGGAAACCGGCTTGTTCGGGAGGCTGGAAGTCGTCAAGTCTGCGCGCGAGACGATTCGTAATGACTCTCGAAAACAGCACGTAGACGCGGCTCAGAAAGGAAATCGGTCTGTAGTTCTTCAAGAGAGCGTTGTCACCTTTCTTGAAGAACAAGACCACCGCACTTTTGCTCCACGCCTCCGGTGTAATGCCACTATGGAGGACGGAATTAAAGAGCTTCTAAAGAAAGAAAGAACTATTTATTTGATATACACATTTTACACACATTAAAAAAAATATTATAAACAAAAGCAAGGAGGAAAAGAATGCATGTACCAGTCTAACACTGTTTAAGGACTTCAAGTACCGGTTTTCCACCCGCTTTCAGAAGCTCCGCTGTAATTCCATCCTCGCCTGGGGCCTTGCTGTTTTTAAGATGCTGGAGAGCCATTTTAATCTCGCTCAGACTGACGTCCGGGATATCTTCGGAATAGTGTCGGATAAGACTCGCTCTTGGATCGTTACTTACACTTGCGTGTGGCTCCAACGATGACGTGTACAGCTGCCCATAGAACCTCTCAATCTCACTCAAAATCTCAGGTGCCCCGGAAACAATGCTGCCACATACGCTTTGCCATCTTTCACTAGACCAGCACATCCCCAGGTAGGATAAGATGTAGTCATTGACAACCCTAGTAGAAATTCTGACTAAAACACATCTGTTTCGGTAATTTTGTTATCAACCAAAAAGTAAAACAGTTTCCGGTGAAAAACATTAGTGACTGCAAAAAACACTGGGGTGATTCTATAGGTGAAACACCAATAGGAAACAAAGAAAACACCTAAATCCTTATCTATACTTATGTATACAAAATCCATACTTTTACATTTTTGTTGATAACAACAAAAATGTAAAAGTATGGATTTTGTATTTTAAAAAGAAGCATATTGACTTTACAAATATTAAATATTATGTTTTAGTTTCTAAATCATTGTATTGACTATTGTCCTAAAAATAATGTTATCCATCCTGGGGAGGGAGTCTAATTTGGGCAAATAACAAGTAATCAACTAGATAAAAGTGTTGCTGTTGATTTTTATAATGCAGGAGTCAGGTATTGACTCTTACATTATATTAGAAAAAATGTTCTTTACAAACAATGCACAATGCCGATAAAAAAAGTAATACTTCATAAATAGTCACTTGTGTAGTTTCACATGAACATAAAATTATGAAATGTTTCCAAACTGTACAAATAGGACTGATCTCCCTAAGATAATTGGTCATGGGTCTGTTAGTTTGTTTAGTTCAATAGTTGCAAGACGACACACCATCTAACACCAGTACTTAGTCCATAAAAGAAGGCAATGTAAATGCTTTTACAACAAAGTTCCAGAAAAACATGCAGGACCTGTTTTTTACAGGATAAGGGTGACAAACGAGCACATAGTGCACCCAATGGTTAGTGGTTGCTGTGGCCCATAGACATCTACATCTATGCTTGTTACAAATCAAAATGCAGATGTAGATGCATTGTCACCTGTAAGGACTAAGATGGCATGCCTAGTTTTTAGTAAAAAGGGTCTCCAGTTCTCTACCTTCATCATACATAACACACCAGTGTTAAGCTGCTATTCTATGAGAGTGAGGTCCTACCCCAGTCGAGCCAATCCATTCGTGCCACAACTTTCATAACAATCTTTACAGGAATAAACAAATAAAACACAGCTGAAATTTAATTTTTTTATTAATCTTAACCCTACATTCACGAGGTCTCCATGGCTGTGGCAGTCTCCTCTGTGTATTTTCCTTTGTCTTTGCCCAAGGCCGCTAGTCTGCCCTTTGCTCTGCGGTCGAGGATTGCCTTACGGTCCTTGTTCATTTTTAATTTGACAATTACACACTGCAAATGGAAGAAAAGTGTTAGTAACTGTTGCCGAATGTTTTGATAATAATAACAGATTGTACACAATCAGAGCCATGGAAGTGTTTCAGCAATAGCCCCGTCTCTTTCAAACGTCAGCATAGCTGATGTAAGATAGGACGGGATCTAAGTAGAAAGTTATCATCATTTTATTTTTTAACAATTTGTGATATAAATTTATTTTATCGTACTTTTTAAGGAACTAGTGATTTTTAAATGCTGGTTGTTTCATTCGTTAATTACAGCCTATAAAAATATTTGCCATAGTTGCTATGTTTGTTTAGTTACACCAGCACACCAATATACAGCAGCCATGTGTTTACTTACTTATACTATTACCTATTTTTGTTTGTTAACTGTAATAAAAGATATTACTTTACTATTAATGCTACCTAATATGCTATCTTTATATGTATTATGAGAATCTTGGCTGTGCTAATGATATTATACAGAGTTATTTTTAATGAGTACTCAATTATAAACGTATGTTCAAATATATAAATAATGATTTAGTGTTATTGCAGTTTTTGAAAATACAAGTAAATAAGGCTTCTACTTTTATTTCAAATTATCTCAAATTGAATGTGATTTATGGGCAACGTTTTGCCTGCCAAATGGCAAGTGTGTGTGCACAGTAAAATCAGTTAAAATAATGCATTACCACACATTTTGAATTTAAAAGATAAAAAGGATAGAATACTTGAGATTTATTTTACTTAATTTTTCTACACCATTTGCCTATATTAGTTATTCTGAACCTTTTCTGCAAATTTAACCAGTTATTGATAAATAACCCTGTATAAATATTTCCTATACATATTAAATAAAAGAGAATCAATCCTTATCAGGGCTTAGCTTTCCATTGACGTCCGTCGAGTTGGCTGTTGATACATATTTTTTATTTTACAGAAAAGTTACACTATTTTAAGCACACACACAAAGTTTCAACATGCGGAAACGCGTAATTTTTGAGAAAAAAATTATTGAAAATCAATTATTCTTGCAATATTTAGGACTAATCCTAACGTAAAACTGGCGCCATTTTGTAATGTTATTGTCGACGTCAATAGGGATGTCGATTTTTTCCGAAAAAGGTCGATTTTTAAATCGATTCAAATCGTAAGCTGATGTATCGGTTCACAAAAAAACGATTTCTAAAATATCTATATTTATTTAATGTTTCTATTTATAATGTAAATATAAACCCATTTTATGAAAAACAAGTAAGATACCATGATAAATGATCTCTTATTGAAATTTGTTTTATTTTAACAGTACCTATTAGGGCAGATAACAAATAAAATAGGTTAGGTTCAACTTATGTCAAAGAACCAATTTGATTGACCCCGACTCCACCTGGTACGAATCTGTCCTACCTCTAAGAGTGGTTTTATAGAGCCTGAGGCGCGTAGGGGGAGCAGCCTCCGTCTGCTGTAACAAATTGCAGGCATTCCTCCTCGCCTCCGCAGCTTCGGCTCTTCCGATGCCTGCGATTTGTTACGCTTAGGCGTAGAGGCTGCTCTTCCCGCAGCGCCGGAGGCGTAGCAGTCTCAAAATAGATACAGAAATCCTTCTGAATCAGTTACCTTATTTTTTATGAAGGGAATTTTTTTCTCATAAAATGAATTTATATTAACATTACTAGCTGTTCCCCACGACTTCGGTCGCGTGTTAGGGTTTTTATGTTTTTGCGCAGAACCCTAATTCTTTTTCTAAAATAAAAGTAGCCTAAGTTACTCCTTATGAAATCAGCTATCTGCCAGTGAAAGTCCCGTCAAAATCGGTCCAGCCGTTTTGGAGATTACCCGGAACAAACAGACAAAAATTTTAAAAATTGTATTTTAGTTATAGGTACCGTATTTACTTTCATATGCATTTAGTAAAAAACTGTAATTATGACATTACAAACAGACACTTCAATGGAATCGATATATCGATATTACAATTGGAATCTATTTAAAAAATTGATCTTTTTCGGAAAGAATCGACATCCCTACTGACAATAATAATAAAAAATGGCGTCAGTGTCACGGTAGGAATTGCCATAAATATTGCAAAAATATTTGATTTTCAATACTTTTTTCTCAAAAAGTACATGTTTCCGCATATTGAAACTTTGTGTGTGTGCTTAGTAAAAATATGTATCAACACCAAACTCGACAGACGTCAAGTTGTACCCTTATCAGCACCAAATAAATGGATAATTGCAATTATAAGTGTTAATTTACCACATGCTTGGCAGTTAAGGAAAATATTGTGAAGCAAATTGCATGTCTATATTTTGTAGATATGAAGAATATGCCAACATGCATTGGGGCGCTTGGTGGACATTTCCTAAATCCCTTTTAGAAATAAGAGGCCTGTGCACACAAGTAGGATGTATTCAAGCTGTTACTATACTTTCTAAAGTAAAATCAACCATTCAATTTTAAACAAAAGGAGTTTAAACAGTCAAAGAATATTTTTAAATTTATCTTATTTTCAATTATTGTGATATCCTAATATCAAATATTGAACCAACAAAATATTTATACTGTGGAATATATTTTATAAAATTAAAATAAAATGTTACTTTACCTTTGAAGGGTGGATGCCAACATATGCACTAGCTCCATTGGCCTTTTCACGTTGAATCCTTTCAATGTACACAACAAATTTTTTACGGTACACCTGGACTACTTTGCCAACTTGTTGACCTTTGTAGTGACCACGCACAACCTGCAACAAGCTTATATTTGCTTATTTATAGAATATTTTGTATAACTACATTATGCTAACAGTAATGTAGTATTTGCATTAGTTCATACTTTAATAATAAAAATAATTAAAATGACAAACAATCAGTCAAGTGTTAACACAAAAAAAAAAATTGCATGTAACTAAAACATATCTTGAACTTTTTTGTAACAAAAATAAGTTCTTTGTACAGATAATTTTATGGCAAAACAATCAGAGCCATATTTTGTACCATGGTGCAGAGTGACATGCCAAGGCTTGGACGCACTAAAGAAAACCTTCAGTTTGTCCATACCAAGGCAGCAACAACTGCAGTCTGTGAATGGTTTGTCTTCATCATTTTGTTTTGCACTGATAAATATAACAAAGAAAGATTTTATAAATGGAAATAGTTCTATGCAAGCACATGATTATAATATTCAACCAAGCAGAACTATTCACAAACAATCATCAATGTTAAATGGAGTAAAGTTATAGTCGAATTTAAAATTTTACCTGAACTTCATCATCTTTGCGAATAGGCATGGATTTTACGTTGAATTTCTGTCTTAATTCCTTTGAGAGAGGCGCAGACATAAGTACTCGCCTAATGTGCGACGGTGCGCTAAAATGCCTCTTCCTGTTTTTCCTCCTGGAGGAGGTTACCTGCCTGTTGTACTTCATCCTGGCACTGTTTTGCTGAAAAGCCAAAATACACCACGTTTATTTCACTGCCTCAAAACATTAGGTTAGCCCTCTTGGAGTGCGAAACGTCAAGTTGCCGCCTCGTTTATTTTCATCACTGATATGTGAAAATTGGAAAATACTCATTATTTATAATACGGTATAAACTTGAGAATGATTATTTAATGTTGTGGTAAGTTATAAAGTAACATGACAGAGGATTTTTAAAGATTTTGTAACGTACCCGAAACAACACGGCAAAGAATCAAGTTAAGAAAGAATCATAGACTAAAAACAAATACGGACGTACTTAAAATGTTGCCAGTAGAAAATAACATTTTAATTGTAACAAAGAGTATATAATCATTATGTTTATGAAGCGGGACTACCTTAGTAAAATAAAAATGTAAAATTTATTAAAAAGAATATCTCAAAAAAAAAAAGAATAATACTTAGTTACTTATTTACTATGTATATGGGCGCCAAGTTACTCTACCAGCCTTAAGACATAACATTTAATTTTTGACAATCAGTGCTGACAACATAGGTGAATTAAAAGTGCTGTAAATGTCTATTTTCGAATAATTTTATCGCAAAAATATTATAATAAAATTAATTTAGATCTTTACGATGAGAAATAAATAAAACATTGCTCTCACTGCATCTGATGCGCTAACTACAAATTTCACATTACGCGAGCAGCCCGAGTTCGAGCCCAGCCGGCACCGATGAATTTGTTACTTGTACCGCGGCGGACATTTTCTTTCTTTGCCCTAAAACTAATCTAATAAAAAAATAATCAAAAAGTCAAATAATTATTGTTTTACTAAAAGCTTTTGTAGTTGTGTGTGCTTTGAAATTAGGAAAATTTTTTCAACTTTCTGGTAATTACCGCATACTGTTGGTGACGCGTCTGTAAATAATATTTCAATTTATTAGTTTACCGATTCTAAAGATAAATTATTAAGCAATAATTATACTATAAGAAAACGCTTAGTAAAATTTTAAAGAAATTTCGAATTAATAGCCTAAGGTCCAGGGTTCGATTCCCCGGTCGAACAACTTTTTGTTTTTTTCTTAGCAATATTTTTCTTAGTAAATTCATAAAGGGAATTTTTAAGACAATAATCTATGATTCCGGGTTCGATCCACCGGTTGAATTACTTTTGTTATTTTCTTAACTTTAGAGAAAATTTTAAGATAATGTTCTAGAAACCAGGCTTCAGTCATCGGTCGCAACGATCACATTTTGTCTTTTTGAGATTAATTTAAAGTTGTGTATTACATAATAATTATCTGTATAAAATAAATGCAAATTTTGTATAAAAATAAATCCTTCAAATACTTGTTCTGATCATTAATTTCAATAGTGTAAGGTTATAAAATAAAACTGCGTTTTATTGTTCTTAGTGTTGAGATAATTTATTTTCCAAGATTATTATTGAATTAAATAGTTTATTTACTCTTACAAATATAAGTTAAAAAAGATACAGCCTATATACACGTCCCACTGCTCGGCACAGGCCTCCTCTCACTTCTGATAGGGTTTTAGGGCGAGGAAAGGTCCGCCGCGCTGCCCAAATGCGTGTTGGCGAACTACACATCTCTTCAAAATATAGTTTTTTTCTTATTTGTCAGACATGCAGGTTTCCTCACGATGTTTTCCTTCACCGCCGAGCACGTGGTAAATCAGCACTTAAAATTGCAATTAGGTAACAATTTCATTGGTGCCGGCGGGGATCGAACACGGGTTTCTCGCGTACTGTGAAACTTACAGCGAGTGATAACCATCTAAGTTACCACAGCTCATTTTACAAATATAACTTTTATTTTTATAACATAATTGTAAAATACTGATATCCAGTTGAATCCGGTTTGACTGGGAGCCGACCCCCAATATAGTTGGGAAAAAGGCTAGGCAGATGATGAATTGTACATAATATATATTCTAGCAGGTGGCGTTCTGTAGTTCTGCCTACCCATACAGAAAAAAAGAAAACATTTTTTTTCATTCACGCCATCTAGTGTTCAATTTTCGTAAATGTAGGGACTAAGAATTCACCCACGTCAGTGTGTGTAAACAACGCTATATTTAATGACAGATGTTATTTTTCAACTTTGTGTTGAATTGTGTGGATTTTGAGGCAATGATATGACCTAGTAAAATAAAGTATAATGTCCGAGTATCGCAATTGCTACTTCTACGACTTAATAATGTTCCAATTACACAAAAACCCGAATAAACTAAAAAATTATGACTACAGCGCCATCTCGCGGGAATATGGCTGGGCACAGACCGTATGTTTCACCTTAAATGTTTGTAATTATCAAAAGAAAGATTTATATGAAAAATAAAGCAGCCATTGTGTACTCCGTGTCTCCGTTTTTTATTTCACCATCAAAAGATTTTATAAAATATATAAAATATAAATATGTATATACTTACTTGAGTATCTATCTATTTATATTAACAATAGGTTAACTGTCCACGGTAGTAAATATTTTCTCCAAAGATCTCATAACTCGAAAATACAACTTTCCGATCTGATTCTTGGGGAGTTTTTTTTAAGTTTATCGGTAGTCACCTAGGATTTTTTACATTTGTATTAAAATCCAACAAAAGACAGTTAGGTTCAGCTTATTCCCAGGAACATGTTTCATGAATATTTTTTTAAATATTTTATAACTATCATAGTAAAATTGAGTTAATTTTTGAAGTTATTCAATTTCGTTATTCAATGACGTTCAGTTTCCTTAACAATCATTTTCGATAGTTCTTGTAAGTAAAATGCACATCACTAGCTAACGTACACAATGACAAATCAAAATTAGTCATGCGTTTTCGGGCTGTCAGGCAAAGACGTATTAAAAAAGATAGACAGGTTACACACTAACATTATTGTATTTTAAAGTGGCGCAGGTAGTACTATATCTCCGTACAGTTGTTTATTGACACGTTGTGCTAACAAAAGAGACAAATGTACGGCATACCTATCGTTAGAAAAAGATGAATATACATCATTAGTTGCGTACTGATTGCTGCTGAGCGCTCATTGGCGCGTGACATACCGATATGGAAATGGACACACTAGCTAGCGTCAAAGTTTACACTCTCGGTTAGTGTTGAAATAATAAAACCAATTATGAACAAAACATCTATATTCAAAATATTAATGAGACGTTTTTCTTGTCTCTAACTGTTGCGTGTAATTTGTGTACCACCTAAAAACACAGGAAAGCATTTTTACAACGAATAATTAGAAGAATTACGCGCAGTAGCGAAGGTATAGCCGCGACGCAAGAGCGTGCCCGACTGAATGCGAGTTGGGCAATTACCTGACTTTCGTATTGCCATATTAGAGCGAGTATGACGTATCTATACTTTAAAAACATCTTAGCTGTCAGGTCGTCTATACATTATTAAAATATTATGTATAGTCTAAGTTTTTCTCTAATGGTTTACATAATTTGGAGTTTTGGCGGGAACTTGACCGGCGGCGGTTTGTTGCTCCTGTTTTATTGTTTAAATAATGGTTTGAAGTGGACTTTGATATGTAAAAGTGGTGTGTTTTTGTGTATTAAGTATCTGCGCATGTGAACTATTATTGGAAACTGTGAAACAAGTGCTCTGATAGTGATGTGATTCTCAAAATAAGGTGCCTGTCTGCTTAGCCGCCTTGAGATACCATCGCCAACCGTCAGCTGTTTGCTGGCTCAAGTTACCGTCAAAATCTCCCAAGGGCTGCACAATGTGATGCATCAACATATTGTGAAGCAGTATACTATGAAGAATAATCATTATAATATAATATTGTAACTTCAGGCTCAGAAGGGCTAGATCCCAGAGCCGTAAAGCCAGTTATCAAGAAGAAGAAGAAGTTTACATAATAGGGAGTTTTGGCGGGAACTTGACCGGCGGCGGTTTGCTGCTCCTGTATTATTGTTTAAATAATGGTTTGAAGTGGATTTTGATATGTAAAGGTGGTGCGATTTTGTGTACTAAGTGTCTGCGCATGTGAACTATTAGTGGAAACTGTGATACAAGTGCTCTGATGGTGATGTGATTCTCAAAATAAGGTGTCTGCCTGCTTAGGCGCCTTGAGATACCATCGCCAACCGTCAGCTGTCTGCTGGCTCAAGTTGCCATCAAAATCTTCCAAGGGTTGCGCAATGTGACGCATCAACATTTTGTGAAGCAGTATACTATGAAGGATAATTATTATAATATATTGTAACTACAGGCTCAGAAGGGCTAGATCCCAGAGCCGCAAAGCCAGTTATTAAGAAGAAGAAGTTTACATAATATGCAAACTTTTAATACACAAAATGTATCACTTTTAAGACTGGGTGTTCCAAGCACATTAGGTATTTATAGGTTTACAGGTGCTCGTCACAAAGATCGAGTCGCGCCAAGCATATGATCGTGATTTTTTACAAAATAATCACAAATATATTGTTTTTAAGTATAAACACATATTTACACAATGAGGAAAAATATACAAACAAAAGAACAAATGAATAACAAATGAATCTATGAAATATTTAAAAAATATTACTTTGGTTAAAAACCTACCAAATCCTGCCAAAGTCTGGAGTAAAAAATGCCTAAATACTGCTAACTTTATTTACAATTGTCTAATTGTATTAAAGTATGAAAACTAAAAATACACATTTAAATGCTATATTTTTATTAAGTTAAAATTAAACATCTTTCGTTGGTTTGAATGCAATGCAATCGCCATGCTCACCAATGCCTTGTTTAACATGCAAGATAGACGCTACATGTTTGTTTATATCTACATCTGTTTCGTGTTTTTGTCTTAATTAGATTTATTTGACAGAATATTCTTTCGCATGTTGAATCTAAACATATTTTTGGAACGAAGTTCCTTATCGGACTGTACGAATTTGTCGGATGGGCACTAGGCGAGAAAAAGTGTAAGATCTTTTCAGTCACGACCCCTTCTAACGTGTGTAGATGGCCTTGCGAGAAAGGGAGA